GATGAATTATCCCATCCCATATGGTTTTGGGAGTTGGTCCATGGTTCATCGGCTGAAATCAGGGGTCTCAGGAAAACTCTTATAACTCTTTAACGGAACAGGCTAGAAAGGTCGACCTTGTGTAGATCGAAAGACAACAAATTTTTCTATCGTATGGTTACTTTCGGATTCAATATTGATCAGAAAATATGCCCAATATTTGATGGTGAAAATGTCCAGGGAGCACTCACGTGATTGATGGATTACCGACCAATCATATTTTGATTTGTATCTATGTGCCGCGATGTCCTCTTTCAAATGGTGAAAACCTCAGGTCTCCATCACCTTTCCTTCAAAAGTTATATGCATTCTCCCGGAACGCCTTTTTTTCAAAAATGGATATTGGATCACAATCTTTTTTACACGAAAAAAGCTTTAGAAGAAAATTATGTACTTTAGGTTGATTGCATTGTTATTCCATCGATATCATACGGATTGAAAGACAGACTAATTGAAAAAGCTGGAGAAATATTACCGCTGCGGAAAGAATCGAAGGATATTTGCAATGGTTTAATCCCGTTCATGGCCGAAACAACAGCTGGAAAACTAGATTGTAAAAAGATCTTATTTGTGAACTGGTCATTGTCCACACCAGTGATGGATGAACATAGTTTACGTGAATCGATACGTACATTCATTTCAAAATCAATTCAATATTGTCTTAACGGAAGTCAAAAGTCGGCTTTGACCATGCAAGCAATTGCATTTGCCGTTCTCGATTCATGTGACCATGAAAGAGTTCTGGCCGAAGAAATGATCAATGAAGCTAGACGCCAAGTAGATTTATTGAATTCAGTATCATTAATGATATCATTCGTTATCTTACCCGATCAAGAAACATTGTATCAACAATTTAGGAGCACAATTCAAAATATACAGACGAAAAATGATGGTATTGGAGTTCTCTTTTATCCAACATCGAGTAAGTCATATCGAAAATATATTCTGTTTCTATTGTCGATTGAATGATGTGCACACTTATGCATAGGTTTGTTCACATATGCCTTTACAGTTTGCCGATGATAAATAGGGCTAGGAAGTCAAAAGGAGAGTGCCGGTACAATTATGAGGTGATCGGTTCACAATGTAGATCGACTATATGATAATAATAGGGTTTTAATTCTTTCGATAACGAAGGAAATATCATCTTTTGGTTTTTATTTTTGTCTATCACTTAAAATCAAAATTATTTTTTAGCTCTAACAATAACATTGACTTCATTGAACAATGATAGCTTGATGAGATGTCAAGAAAAAATCTCTGATTACTTGAAACGATGTTCAAGTGAAATTGAACTAACTAGATGGGTTCAATCATTGGAACCAATATATGATTAACATTTATTTCAAGTATTGTCATGATCGATGTATACAAATTGTCATTGACCATAATCAAAGAACCGTTCTCAAAGGTTCAATATCGAATGTATCTGAAGCCAAGGAAAAATATGATTTGCTGGTTGCCTTGATTGCAGAGAAAATATCGATACAACAATCTTCGTTAACAATACCGCGACCAAGATCTGCTTCTCGAATCCTAGTTGCAACAGACCACGCTATGT